GTCGCACCACGAAGCTCGCGTCCAGTGTAGACATGGTGTGAGTTTTTTTTAATGGCTTAGTTTTAGCCCTGCTTGTTTTTAATGTTTTTATTAAATATCTGTATTGATCATATCATCGCATTATTTACTGCCATCTGCCATGCGAGCCACACATTGAAGCTTGGCGAGCCACATGAGGCTCGCAAGCCGCGCAATGAGTAACACTGACATAGATGATCCCCAAGCCATGAAATACATTACACACTTTTATTTTTATCAGGTGGCATAAATCCATTTGTAATGTACTAAGAAATCCTATGTTATTTTATAGTTTCAGTCATTAGGGCTGCACAATTGATCACATTTTTAATCGCGATTACAATTACGAATGTCACAATTATGTAATCGTTCAAAGCGGCAATTAATCGTTTAAAGTCCACTTATGTTATTCTGCGTGCTTAAGATGCGTTTTTTTCTTCCTGCAAGTTATCTTAAGGGTTTTTCCATTGTTTTAATTTTAGTATAACACTATAATACCATGCATATTTTACCTTTTTTATTTAAAGAAGAAACCAATCCGATGAATAGATGCCATTTGAGGCTTAATACTATAGAAAAGCACTAAAGGTTTTTCAGTTTGAGGGTTTTCAGCTTGTTTACTTTCATCTAAAAATACGGCATGCGGTTGCTTCAAACAATGGTATAAACATCATTCAATGTAAATTGTGATAATTGTAATTAATAATCGCAATTACAATTTCAAGGGAATAATCGACAATTATGATTTTTGTCATAATCGTGCAGCCCTAATAGGAAGGATTGGATTAATCTGGGTGATAACGTCATCGTTTTATTACAGTGATGTCAAACACACTTTTTGACAGTACATCTGATCAAGTTTATGCGTTCCCTGGGAATCAAACCGATCAGTTGTATGCTTGGAGGATCCCATTGCTCACTATATCCGTCTCTATTTTCATGTTTTACCAGATATGCTCCAGCTTATCAACCACCAGGACATGGAGTTTGGAGGGCTGTTCGATCACGCTCCATTTCCTGCCCCCTTGCAGGACATCTCAGTCCTGCCCTACTCCAGCCCTTCCTCTCCTCCACCCGCCTCTTCCACGCCCACCAACACCTCCTCCATCCTCAGCAGCAGCCCACACCTGGATGCCCTGCTGGGCCCCCCCATCACCCGCAGCTCCTCCATCCCGGACAAGGTGTTTCAGCCTCCCACTTTCCAGCAGTCTCCTCTGGCACAGGTGACCTCCACCCCCGCAAACCCCGCCACACTGCAGACCACGCAGCCCAAAGCTCAGCCTGCTCCATCTCCCAGCCTCCACCCTTCCACCCCGCCGGCCCCGAGCCAAGCTGCCCCGGCCGGGAAGAGCCCTGCGTTCGGCGCGACCCAGCAGGCCCTCTTCAGCTCACCAACACCCCAACCACAGCAGCAGCAGCCCGTGGTCACTTACACCAACCAGAGCAGCTATACAGGTACGTTGTATTACCTAAAAAATGATATGATCAATAAGAAGGTGTTTACATGACACCAACTAAAAAAAAAAAAAACATATGCATTTTAGCCATTTCTTTACACGACAACAGCTTTTTGGGGGCCTGAAAATGAAAACTGGTTTTGAAAACGATATCTTTAATGGTCCATGTAAACTACAAAAACCGTGACATCATTCGCATGCATGTTAGTGCCTGGTCTATAGGCACGGATCCGTGCGAACAGAAATCGTTGTCGTCTGTACACTTTTCCATTTTTACTACATGGCAACATGTTTTTCCATTACTGTAACTCATCAAAAAAATGTAACCAATTTCAACTAGGGATGTAACGATTAACCGTGAGCCGGTTGAAAATCGATTCAAATATACAAATCACGATTCAATTAGGGGTAGGAGTTTATATGAATGTATGTCTGAGGGGAACTTACTGACTTTAGAAAAGTTTAGATGGTATTTCTTCTTATCATCTTGCCTCTGTATAATGCATATTAAAGTAAGTGCAGCGCTGCTTTGTTTACAGCGGAAACCAAGGAAACGCTTCAAGCGCCACCTGCTGGCAGAGAGTGAATCTGTGTCTCGTTCAGCTCGTCTGCTGTTTCTGTTTCATGCAGATATTTTTTATGCATAGTATCACAAAACTGAAGTCAAACCATTCTGTTTTTGCTTCAAATTTCGGAATTATACAATCTAATTTAGATTAAAAACTGATCATGTTGCATGTATGCAGCTTGTTTGCATCATGATTAAAATGCCTCTAATTTTAAATGTTAAGAGCACAGACAAAGCCTTAGTTTGTTTATATGAAGAGATTTATTTTATTTGTGTTACTTATTTATTTGATTTGGGGCTTGTTTTAAAATTTAAATTTAGTTTTGTTATTTACATTTACATTATATTAAAATTTTTGTCATTTTTTATCCAAAGCGACTTACAAATGAGGACAATAGAAGCAATCAAAACCAACAAAAGAGTAATTATATGCTATAAGTGCTGTATTATTATAGTGTTATATTTCAATTTCACAAAGAAATGTGCAGCATTTTGTCCAAGCAATAATAAAAGGACACATTTAATTTATAATTTGTCTTAAATCTCATTTTTAAAAAAAAAAAAAATTGCGAATCGAATCGTGAGTTGAGTGAATCGTTACATCCCTACTTTCAACTGAAACTCATTCAGTCAGTTTGACTCGTGAAAAACTTTATAATAACTAGATCAAATGCTGTCATCGATCTAACTCCAACATGATGTCATTACTAAGACTATAAAATCCATCACCTTTGATCAGTCATATGCCAGCAGTTCTCTTCAGGTAGCTGTAATCTGTTATGAAAAGGCAATTTGAGTTCAAGGTGCAGACGGTGAAGTCACTGTTGTCAGTCCTGGAAACCCAGTGAACTTTTACCGTACATTGTGCTCATGTGTAAAGCTGCCCAGCCCACATTCTTTCTTTGTATGTGCTTTTATCATTTTGTTTCATTCTGCTTATCAAGGCTTAGGTAATGTCTCTACCAGGCCAAAGAGAGAATACAGCATCACTCTAGCGTAGATCAAAGTTCAGTCACGGTGAATTGAGTTATGTATTTCTATAGTTAGCCTAAATGACCCTCCGCCGCCTTACTGTTATTATTACAGACACAAGCTTTACCGAAAACCCCATCAGAATGAACTGGAGATTTCTGTGATGAGATAAAAGTGTGTGTATTATTATTCGTATGTGGGCTAGAAGTAAGTGTGAGACTGCAAAGCATGTTTAATGAAATTCTTGCCTTTCTGTCCTCTCGTGATCTGGTTATTGCAGCTGTCACTCAGCAGAGCTCCCCTCAGCCAATCCCGAGTCTCCCTGCCTCTCTACAGAATGTTCAGCCAATGGCCATCCAAGCCCATGTGCAGAGCCTCACGGCTTCACCAATCCTGACCACCACCTCCAGCCCTCCCACACAGACCATCTCCCCTCAGGTTCAGCAGCTTCCTGTAAGTGCTTTTATTGATGCCCACAAGCACAGGAATTTACATTTGACAGCCGAATAAGCTTTATTGTGTGCCTTGAGCATTCTTCATGTGTTTTTGCATGCAGGTTTTGTTGCAGCCGCAGTTCATTAAGGCAGACTCTCTCTTGCTCACAACTTTGAAGCCAGTGACAACAGTAACAACAGTAGCGTCACCCTGCATCACATCCACGTCGCCAGTCCAGAACACCTCACTGCAGGTACACAAACACAGTCCCAAGACCAAGAGTTGCTAAATAGCACCAAGCTTGTAGATTTGCTTCAATTTAATGTTTTGTTCTTGGTGTGAACTGGCCGTTAATCATATTAGTAGTGCTGTAGATCCCTGTTCAAGATATGTGACCCTGGAGCACAAAAGCAGTCTTAAGTCGCTGGGGTATATTTGTAGCAATAGCCAAAAATACATTGTATGGGTCAAAATTATAGATTTTTCTTTTATGCCAAAAATCATTAGGATATTAAGTAAAGATCATGTTCCATGAAGATATTTTGTAAACTTCCTACTGTAAATATATCAAAACTTAATTTTTGATTAGTAATATGCATTGCTAAGAACTTCATTTGAACAACTTTAAAGATGATTTTCTCAATATTTAGATTTTTTTGCACCCTCAGATTCCAGATTTTCAAATAGTTGTATCTCGTCCAAATATTGTCCGATCCTAACAAACCATACATCCATGGAAAGCTTATTTATTCAGCTTTCAGATGATGCATAAATCTCAATTTCGAAAAATTGACACTTATGACTAGTTTTGTGCTCCAGGGTCACATTTTTCAGGGTCAGATTTAAACCTTGTCAAAGGTAATTAAATAAGTTTAATTTTTATATTTAATTGAAAAGTTCCCAAATGACCCAGTTTTTTATTTTGTGGATCTGTACATCTCTTGTCTCAGGCACTGATGAGTGGAGGCACCATCCTGACCACCGTTCCACTGGTGGTGGACACAGAGAAACTGCCCATCAGTCGCATCACCATCAGCGGGAAACTAGGCGGCCTGCCGCATAAGGGCGAGAAACGCACGGCCCATAACGCCATTGAAAAACGCTACCGCTCCTCCATCAACGACAAGATCATTGAGCTCAAAGACCTGGTGGCTGGGACAGAAGCTAAGGTGGGCTCATAGTCTGTCAAAACCTTATTACAAATCTGGTTATTTAGTCCCCATGTAGTGACCCTTGAAATTCATTAGAAAACCTTGACCAGATGGTATGAGCTAACCGAAGCAGATTTTGCTCTTATCTTACCTAGATGTCTTTAACATCATTATAAGATGAATCTTCTCTCTTATTCAGCTCAATAAGTCCTCTGTGTTGAGGAAAGCCATTGACTACATTCGCTACCTTCAGCAGTCCAACCAAAAACTAAAGCAGGAGAACATGGCACTCAAAATGTCCATTCAGAAGAACAGTAAGTTCAGTTTAAATTTATATTAAATGCAATGATATGATTTAATATAAGTTGAATTTTAGGGTGCTTTTTGACCCACTTAAGTGCATCTTTATATGTAATTCATAATTACTTCTGTTGATTATATGTGACCCTGGAGCACAAAACCAGTCTTAAGTCGCTGGGGTATATTTGTAGCAATAGCCAACAATACATTGTATGGGTCAAAATTATAGATTTTTCTTTTATGCCAAAAATCATTAGGATATTAAGTAAAGATCATGTTCCATGAAGATATTTTGTAAATTTCCTACTATAAATATATCAAAACTTAATTTTTGATTAGTAATATGCATTGCTAAGAACTTAATTTGGACAACTTTAAAGATGATTTTCGCAGTATTTGGATTTTTTTGCACCCTCAGATTTCAGATTTTCAAATAGTTGTATCTCATCCAAATATTGTCCCATCCTAACAAACCATACATCAATGGAAAGCTTATTTATTCAGCTTTCATATGATGTATAATTATCAAATTCAATAAAAAAAAATTGACACTTATGACTGGTTTTGTGGTCCAGGGTCACGTATAGTTAAAGCGTGTTGCTGAAGGTACTGGCAATCATTGTCCTTCTGTTGAAACATGTCTGTCACGTATTTAAATATATTTGTAATTACACATTTATAATGACGAAGTTGCTGTTTAGTACATTTTAAAAATATTAACTTTAAATGCATTATCAAATAACACAACAATTAAATGATAATCAAGTGCTCTACATGTGCTTCAGTATGCAAATCAACATCAAAATAAGTGTACTTTAAAGCATGCCAAAAGATGATGAATATAATGATTTAGAATGTAGTTTTAAGTAAAACCTCTCATTTGACATAAAAAGTGCACTTTTTAAAAAGTTTACTAGTCATGCAAATGCCTCTCTTTAAGTACATTTAAATGGCTTTTTATTCCAGGGATATAATTACTTAAGCACATTTGTTTTTCACAAGTGGAGCGTGGTTGTCTTTGCATTGACCTGTCGCGTCTCCTCCTCAGAGTCTCTGAAGGACCTTGTGATCATGGAGGTGGACGTGAAGCCAGAAATCCCCACCCCTCCAGCATCAGACGTCGGCTCGCCTCAATCCAGCGGCCCTTTCTCCCACCACGGCAGCGACTCGGAGCCGGACAGCCCAATGGAAGAAGACAACAAGGTAGCAGAAACTCTTCCAGAGCTCCTATCATGCCTTTAATGAATTGGCCTCGGCCGTGAAGTTAGTGTATGTGTTAGTGTGTGCTGGATAATTTGATTGCTTGAGGTCAAGGACTTGGAAGAATCCTAATGTAATGATCTAACTCCAATTTCTGTTTCCCGTTCTCTCTATTAGCCTGTGGTTGAGAGGGCTGGAGGAATGCTGGACCGCTCTCGCATGGCTCTGTGTGCCTTCACCCTGCTCTTCCTGTCCTTTAACCCACTGGCGTCCCTGCTGTGTGGCGGCTGGAGCAGCTCTGGGATGACTGTCTCTGGACACACAGGAAGGAGTCCACTGGCAGTGCCAGAAGAAGGTGCTAATTAGGGTTGGGTACCGAAACCCGGTACCAATATGGCACCGGTACCTATGTAACCGCTATGTATTAGAACCGAATCAGAATGCAGATTAGGTGTCTCATTTCGGTGCCATGCCTGAGCAATCGATTGAAATATTTGTCCTCTGGTTCTCCGAAACGGAAGTAAGAAGCATCATCACCGGCACCGCATGTGAAAAATAATTTCCCGACTGAGAAAATGCACGTGAACTCAAGTCGGAAAGCTCTAATAATACAAATCCAACACATTATAGTGCTAATGGCCAATCCATCATTGTTTGGGGAATTTTTATTTTATTATATGTTCAGAGTAGCATCCCATCCCAGTCTTAATGGTAACGATCCAATCTGGTTTTCATACGTGTAGCTGAGTCTTGGGGCTGGATGGATTGGATGTTGCCCACTCTTCTGGTGTGGCTGTTGAACGGTGTTCTGGTCGCTGGAGTTTTGATCCGCCTGCTCGTGTATGGAGAACCTGTGACCAGACCCCACTCAGAATCATCTGTCCTCTTCTGGAGACACCGCAAGCAGGCCGATCTGGATCTAGCCAGGGTATAAACCGCTTTCTTGCACTCATCTGTGATTGCTCTGGAGGTCAGATTTCACCGACACATCTGATAGCCGTTTCTCTAATGTTTTTCTGCAGGGAGACTTTGCTCAGGCCTCTCAGAACCTCTGGACGTGCCTCAAAGCTCTTGGTCGTCCTCTGCCCACGTCTCAGCTGGACCTGACCTGTGCGGTGCTGTGGTCTGCCCTGCGTCTGTGTCTGCAGAGGCTGTGGGTGGGCCGCTGGCTAGCCATCCGTGCCGGAGTCCTCCGTTCCAACCGCCCCCTACAGGAAGATGCCCGCAAGAGCTGCCGCGATGCCGCCTTGGTCTACCACCGTCTACACCAACTCCACATGACCGGTAAGTCACTGTAGCATATAGAGGAATCAGGTAAACTTGTGAAGAGCAACTGTTAGGCCGCCTTTTTACTGTCTCTGGCATTCACATACGACTGTCGGATTTCGCCCATTAGTTCACCATAGTAAAACTAATAATGAATGCATGCATATATCCACACAAGCATATGACGGCCAATATGTGACCCTGGAGGACAAAACTAGTCATAAGGGTCAATTTTTCGAAATTGAGATTTATGCATCATCTGAAAGCTGAATAAATAAGCTTCCATTGATGTATGGTTTTGTTATGATGGGACAATATTTGGCTGAGATACAACTATCTGAAAATCTGGAATCTGAGGGTGCAAAAAAATCTAAATATTGAGAAAATCATCTTTAAAGTTGTTCAAATGAAGTTCTTAGCAATGCATATTACTAATCAAAAATTAAGTTTTGATATATTTACAGTAGGAAATTTACAAAATATCTTCATGGAGCATGATCTTTACTTAATATCCTAATGATTTTTGGCATAAAAGAAAAATCTATAATGTTGACCCATACAATGTATTGTTGGCTATTGCTATTGTGCTCCGGGGTCACATATATTTGAAAAAAAAGTGTGGTTTTCTAGGGCTAATAAATGTAAATAATCATTTAACAACACATGATAAGTCTTCTAGCCATTCGTCGTATTTGCTCATGATGTTGATCGGTGTGCAGGCAAGCTCGGAGGAAGCCACCTCTCTGCGATCCACATGGCGCTGAGCACTCTCAACCTGGCCGAGTGTGCAGGAGACTGTCTCCCCATTGCCACGCTGGCTGAAATCTATGTGTCTGCAGCCCTCCGGGTTAAAACCAGCCTGCCCCGCCTGCTTCACTTCACTACTGTTAGTACACATACATGCACACTCGCAGCCCAGTGCGCTGCTCTGCTGTCTACAGCATGCAAATCTTGTCTGAAATGGAGCCTCAAAAGCAACTGTACATGGGCAGCAACTGACAGTTAAGCCCTAAATATATGTCAGTTTTTACATGCACGCTAAGATGTGTTCACAGTGCACCTGACAAATTTCATCAACACGGTATGCGCATAACCTACGTGTGCAACCCAGTTTTTCTAACTCTGTGAACCCGAAACTCTAGTTTAAATGAATACAAATACATTTGTATTGCTCAGAACTTCTGGAAAGAAATTATGAGCAATCAACACTGGACAGGGATGAAACTTGTGTCAAGCACCTGTGTTCGTTTAACACTATATAACTGAAGCATATTTTGCAGTTTCAATGGAGTTTGCCATCAGCATGTTATTAAGCTAACATGATACTCTAAATAAGCATTAAAATGCATAGTACACATTAATATTTGGTGAAATAGTCCATTTGCATTATCGAATGAATTTGACTTTCTCTCACCTGGTCTTGGATTTATTTTTCCTTGTCGTAGTGCATTCTGGGATTGGATTTTGTGCCAAGGATGCATGCAGTGCTGCCTTAGACTTTGGCCAAAATGAGATATCTTGGACTTGGCGACAGTAGTGCATGTGTGACACTTAAAATGCTGCCTTGGTAGGGAGCTCACTAGGTTTTGGAACAGCATCAGAATCTCTCTTTTCATCCAGTACAGTTATTTAAATGGCACTTGCTTTCATTTTTGTTTGATGGTGTGTCCATGTTTTGTTTGTGTGCTGCATATGGTAAGTGGAGATATGACTTTGGATTTTTCTGTCCTGCAGCGAGTGTTCTTGAGCAGCGCTCGGCAAGCCTGTCTCTCGCCCAGTGGCAGCGTCCCTCCTGCCATGCAGTGGTTGTGTCACCCGCTGGGCCATCGTTTCTTTGTGGATGAGGACTGGTCCATACGCAGCACCCCTAAAGAGAGCATCTACAGCCAGGCAGGGAACTCAGGTCAGCACCATACAGAGAAAATCAGGCTGAAGGGATCCGTTTTTATTGTGTTGTGTGTTTATGAATGTGCTGCTGATAATGATTAGCTGGTCTTGGCTTTGTGTTTGTCTGCAGTTGACCCGCTGGCTCAGGTGACCCAGGCGTTCCGCGAGCATCTGCTGGAAAAGGCCCTCTACTGTGTGGCACAGCCGCGAGGCGACAAGAACCTCACTGATGGAGATGGGTGGGTGATCTTTCCCAATGCTGCTTTACACACAATCTCATCTAGGCTTCTACATCTTGATGTCTGATTTCACTGGAAGCATGTGAAATTCTTCATTAGAGGTTAAGTGTGAACATGGTTTGGGGGAAAAATACAGGCAAAATAGTATAGATTTATAATATCAGTAATGGCCAAATACACTGATACATCAGTAAATAAGTCTGTCTGTCTGTCTATCTTTCTGTCTATCTATCTGTCTGTCTATCTGTCTATTTGTCTGTCTATCTTTCTGTCTGTCTGTCTGTCTATCTGTCTGTCTATCTGTCTATCTATCTGTCTGTCTATCTGTCTATTTGTCTGTCTATCTTTCTGTCTGTCTGTCTGTCTATCTGTCTGTCTATCTGTCTATCTATCTGTCTGTCTATCTGTCTATTTGTCTGTCTATCTTTCTGTCTGTCTGTCTGTCTATCTGTCTGTCTATCTGTCTATCTATCTGTCTGTCTATCTGTCTATTTGTCTGTCTATCTTTCTGTCTGTCTGTCTGTCTATCTGTCTGTCTATCTGTCTATCTATCTGTCTGTCTATCTGTCTATTTGTCTGTCTATCTTTCTGTCTGTCTGTCTGTCTATCTGTCTGTCTATCTGTCTATCTATCTGTCTGTCTATCTGTCTATTTGTCTGTCTATCTTTCTGTCTGTCTGTCTGTCTGTCTGTCTGTATCGTTCTGTCTGTCTATCGTTCTGTCTGTCTATCGTTCTGTCTGTCTATCGTTCTGTCTGTCTATCGTTCTGTCTGTCTATCGTTCTGTCTGTCTATCGTTCTGTCTGTCTATCGTTCTGTCTGTCTATCGTTCTGTCTGTCTATCGTTCTGTCTGTCTATCGTTCTGTCTGTCTATCGTTCTGTCTGTCTATCGTTCTGTCTGTCTATCGTTCTGTCTGTCTATCGTTCTGTCTGTCTATCGTTCTGTCTGTCTATCGTTCTGTCTGTCTATCGTTCTGTCTGTCTATCGTTCTGTCTGTCTATCGTTCTGTCTGTCTATCGTTCTGTCTGTCTATCGTTCTGTCTGTCTATCGTTCTGTCTGTCTATCGTTCTGTCTGTCTATCGTTCTGTCTGTCTATCGTTCTGTCTGTCTATCGTTCTGTCTGTCTATCGTTCTGTCTGTCTATCGTTCTGTCTGTCTATCGTTCTGTCTGTCTATCGTTCTGTCTGTCTATCGTTCTGTCTGTCTATCGTTCTGTCTGTCTATCGTTCTGTCTGTCTATCGTTCTGTCTGTCTATCGTTCTGTCTGTCTATCTGTCTGTCTATCTGTCTATCTGTCTGTATCTGTCTATCATCTATCTGTCTGTCTGTCTGTCTATCGTTCTGTCTGTCTATCTGTCTGTCTGTCTGTATCTGTCTATCATCTATCTGTCTGTCTGTCTGTCTATCTTTCTGTCTATCTATCTGTCTGTCTATCTTTCTGTCTGTCTGTTTGTCTGTCTGTCTATCTGTATCTGTCTGTCTATCTTTCTGTCTGTCTGTATCTATCTATCATCTGCCTGTCTGTCTATCTGTCTGAATTACATAAATTCAGTTTTAGTGAACATAATAGACTCCTTTGAAAAAACTTAAATAAAAAATAAATAAATAAAATCAAACTGGCCCCAAACTTTTGAACAGTACTGTATTTGTAACAATAATATAATTTTTAAACAAAAGCTAAATCTTCTATATAAATCTAAATGTTAACTGAAAATGCACACTTAATATGTAAATGAGTGGTTCCTCTACTGGTGTTAGTAGTATGGGTCCATCAGTGCTACAGATAGCAGAGTGTTTAGGTGAAATCTGGCCTAATTGGACAGATTTTTGCTGCCAAGCTTTTATGACACTTTATTTTACATACGCTTTGCTTTTGAATCACTTAGTTTTTTTTGTGATTGGGGTGCTAATCTGAGTTGTGTGTGTGTGTGTGTGTGTGTGTGTGTGTGTGTGTTTTGACAGTGAATACTCAGACTCTCTGGAGTACCTGCAGTTACTCACCAGCGCCTCAGACGCAGCAGGAGCCACAACACAGTCCTTCGCCATCGGATCAAACATGGCCACTGTTACAGGTCAGCCCTCAATCCACTTCTGCTTTGACCCCGAGTGTTGTTTTGGGGACTCCTGGGTCATATGATGGATTTCAGAGAATAGCATTTCAGGCGAGTCACCGCAGAGAGGGTGGCCACTGCTGGGTTGTGTATGTACAGCTCAAATAAGTTTTTCTGTTCAGGTCAGCACTTTTCACATCACACTGCGTTCATCTCGGCATGTTTTCATTCAAGCAGATGTTAGTCGGGGAGAGTGAAGGACAGACACTTCATGAGTGTGAGTGTGTGTGTGTGATCACCACTGTATCCTTGACCTCCAGGATGTGACCCTCACTCGAAATGGTGGTCGTCGGTTGCCGTGGTGATCATTAATTGGCTCCAGGGAGATGATGTGGCGGCAGAGAGGTTGTACCCAGCGGTGGAGCACTTGCCACACAGCCTTCAGACCGCTGAGTGAGTAACATGTGACAGTCTACAGGAAACACACGCCATTTTTACTTTCAAAAATGTGACCCTGGACCACAAAACAAGGGTCAATTTCTTGAAATTGAGAGTTATGCATCATCTTAAAGCTGAATAAATACATCCATTGATGTATGGTTTGTTAGGATCGGACAATATTTGGCTGAGATACAACTATTTGAAAATCTGGAATCTGAGGGTGCAAAAAAATCTAAATATTGAGAAAATCATCTTTAAAGTTGTCCAAATGAAGTTCTTAGCAATGCATATTACTAACAAAAATTAAGTTTTGATATATTTACAGTAGGACATTTACAAAATATCTTCATGGAACATGATCTTTACTTAATATCCTAATGATTTTTGGCATAACAGAAAAATCTATAATTTTGACCCATACAATGTATTGTTGGCTATTGCTACAAATATACCCCAGCGACTTAAGACTGCTTTTGTGCTGCAGGGTCACATTTATGGTTTAATATTTAGATTTACAAAATGAAAAAATAAAAAACCTTATAAATCCTACACATTTTAATTTACAAAAAAAAAACTTTCAAACATTTACGGTAAGTAACTTGTGTGTGTGTGTGTTTTAAGAAATTGCATGCATTAAATGCTTTAAATGATCAAAATGTAAAGACATTTATAATGTTAAAAACATCTCTATTTCAAATAAATGCTGCTCTTTTGAACTTTCTATTCATCAGCACAACTGTTCAACATTGATAAGAAATGTTGTTAGTATAATTTACTAAATATTTTTTTCTGTTTTAAATTAGCTTTTATTTCTTTATATTTTATGTTTTATTTTTTGTAATTTTATGAGCTTTTATTTTTGTTAGGTTTTTAAAAAATATTTATTTATTTTTCGATATTTATCTTTAATTCATTTTTATTTCAGTTTTAGTTTTAAATAAGTTTAAGAACTAAAATGATTATTTCAGTCATGCTGCCATTAATAATGTTCAATAAAGTTTAGTGTTTTAGTGTTTTTTTTTTAATTCATGTAGTATTTGCGTTTTATTGCAGCCTTATTTCAATGAACAAAAACGATTTTTAATAGTTATAGTTTAAGTTAACAATAACACTGGCAGTGTAGAATAATTGTTCATTTTAAACCTTTTTTTTTTTATCATTTGAAGTATTTTGTTTAAATTTTTTATATATATATATTTTTTATTTTACATTCAAACATAAGCAGGATTGATATAGACATACATACATATATATATTTATACTTTTTTTCTCTGAAACTATATATACATATTAAAACATTATCATCATCATCATCATCATCATCATTATTATTTTTATTGTGGTTTCTTCTGGAAAAGCGGTTCAATTCACCCCCAATGCCACTCTCAAGCTATATTTACTTTCAAAAATAGTATTACCACAAGTAAATAACGATCAAATTGGTTGTAAAGAGGCTGCAGTTATCAGTTGCTCTCATCAGAGTGGCTTTTCCTCTGTTGACACAGCCGCATATATCTTTCCACTCCACGTCCGGGAATAACACGTCGTGTGATGTGCGTTTTGTGTGGGTTTATTGCCTTCAGCTCAGTCTGTGCTAAGCGCATCCTGTTTGTGTTGCAGGAGTCCACTGCCCAAAGCCTGTCTTAACACTTTTAAAGCGGTGCGCGCTCTGCTGGCCAAACCAGAGAACTACCAGCTCAGCCTCAGCTACTGTGAGACAGCCAGTGGCCTGTTCAGAGACAGCCTCAATCTCGGCCCACACTGCAGCACCAACACATTAGACAAGGTAGATACACACATTTCACTTTATTATGTGGAGTGGTTAGTTCGCCGTGTGGGTTTTGTCTTGGACAGGGCTGTAGTGCATTGTAGTTGCATTGCATGTGCCTCAACTGTGCAATGTTCCTGCAGTGCAACACAGAGCTGGACCACACACACATTTTTAGATACTTTTAACTAACTGGTCCCAGGGTGATGAATGAAGTCAGCTCTCCTCAAGTTAACACAGATGTCATGGTAGTAGTTCATCATGTTGTTTCTGGACATGTACAACCACATTTCTTTTGTTTATTTACATTTTCAATTTAAATTTTAGCTTTAAGGAATTTTATGTGCTTTTTTACATTTTTAATATTTCTATTGAGCTTTATTTTCAATAATTTTGTATTTAAACTTATTTCAGTTGGTCTGCCATTTCTTATTTATTGTTCTTGTTTATTCATATTTAAGTTTTTTGTTTTATTTTGTTTTAGCTTTAATTCAATTAACAAAATTGATTTTTAATAGTTTTAGTTAACAATAACAACACTGGCACAAAGTGTCAATACTTTATTACTTTATTTTAGTATCTGTTTTATCATTGTTTTATCAAGTATTTTGGTTAAAAAAACAAGTGTGTTTGTGCTGTCTTCCTTTAAAACACAGATTATGTTTTCATATTTGTAATATTTTAATAATAATATTAATACGATTATGATAATTAAACTATAAATGTATAAAATATATTTTATTGTTTTATTTATATATTTGTTTTATTATTATTATTATCATCATTAAATATATTTAATGTAAACTGTCCAAAAACATTTATACATTTTTATGTCTAAATATGTTTGTATATTCTTCCCTTTCAGTAAAATTGTAGTAATTAAATTGTTGTTCAAGAGGCATTTAGTTCCATTTTAAGAAAAGAAAACTACATTTAAATTAATTAATTAGACTGTCAATTTATGTAAAAATATGTGAACGGAGTATTAAACATTTGGAGGGAATAAATGTTTGGCAGCACCTAATTTTAATGATATTAAACAGATGTCAAGACATCATTTGTATAACAACACAAACTGTTCTTTATTTGAGCATGTTGTTTTTTGCTGTGTGTTACACACACACACACACACACGCACACACACACACACACGCGCACACATATGCACGCATGCACACACACATGCACACACACACACACACATGCACGCGCACGCAGACACGCGCGCACACACACACACAGACACGCACACGCATGCACACACAGACACATGCGCACACACAGACACGCACGCACACACACACACACACGCGCACACACACACTCAAACGCGCATGCACGCACACACACAGACGCACGCACGCACACTCAGACGCACACACACACGCACGCACACACACACAGATGGTATTTGTGCTCTCAAAGAAAACCATCTCAAGGCTGTTCTTCTGGAATGAAAGAAACGGTCTGATTGGATGTGCGTCTCTGTCTGTGCTGTAGCTGGTGCAGTTGCTGCTGTGTGATCTGTTGTTGGTGACGCGTACTAATGTGTGGCGGGAGCAGCAGGTGGCGTCTCAGCAGAGCTCCCCGACGGCTGCCTCTCCTGCAGAGCTGCAGGGCTTCCAGCAGGACCTCAGCTCGCTCCGCAAGCTCGCCCAGAGCTTCAGACCGGCCATGCGCAGGGTGAGAGGCCAGAGGCCACACTAAAGACATGACATGCTCATATTTAGGTCTCTAGTTCATTCAACTAAGAAATTATCTATTTAAGCAAACTATTGCATACAACTTGTTCTGGGTCAGGCAGTGTGATCAAAATCTTATATAACCATCAAACAGTATATATACCATAATGCCACCCAGACTGCACCCAGACTTTTTTGTAATGTATTATTTTTTTTATTTCTTCATTCTTTACATTATATTAAATTTTTTATATTTTACTTCATATATTTATTGTCCATTGTTAGTGGTTTATCTTTTGATTTGCATTTGTAAATAACACTTCATACAAATTCTGCAAAGGTTGAATTTTTTTGGCAGATGTTCCTATTTAAAGCGGATTACAGAAACAGTTTGCACACTAATCTTGTTGTATAAGGAAGTATGAATCCGTTGTTTTCTTGGTTGAACTGATGTTCTGCAGGCTGGTTATTTAGCGTGGGTTCATGTGTTTGCCTGTATAACTCAGTCGCTCTGTTTTTCTCTCTCTGCAGTTGTTCCTGCATGAAGCCACAGCTCGGCTGATGGCGGGAGCCAGTCCCACACGCACACACCAGCTCTTGGACCGCAGTCTGCGCCGCCGCGCCACGCCTGGAAGCAGAACAGGTGAACATGCAGTGTGTGTGTGTGTGTGTGTGTGTGTGCAGAGCATTGCCAAGTCTCACTTTGAAAGCATTTGTTTTAAATGTCTTTATTTGAATAGAATTCATTACACCAAATGTGACCCTGGAGCACAAAAGCAGTCTTAAGTCGCTGGGGTATATTTGTAGCAATAGCCAACAATACATTGTATGGCTCAAAATTATAGATTTTTCTTTTATGCCAAAAATCATTAGGGTATTAAGTAAAGATCATGTTCCATGAAGATATTTTGTAAATTTCCTACTGTAAATATATCAAAACTTAATTTTTGATTATTAATATGCATTGCTAAGAACTTAATTTGGACAACTTTAAAGATGATTTTCTCAATATTTAGATTTTTTTGCACCCTCAGATTCCAGATGTTCAAATAGTTGTATCTCAGCCAAATATTGTCCGATCCTAACAAAACCATATATCAATGGAAAGCTTGTTTATTCAGATTTCAGATGATGTATAAATCTCAATTTCAGAAAATTGACCCTTGTGACTTGTTTTGTGCTCCATGGTCACATATAATAATTATTTGTTTGAACAACAGTGTTTAAATGTTGCATTCAGGTTCAATATACATACCAGCCATGCAATTAGTTATTTTTATCGTCACTATAGTTAAAAAGTTTAGGCTCAGTATTTTTTTTGTTTTTTAGAAATAAATACTTTTATTTAGCAAGGATGCATTGAATTGATCAAAAGGGACAGTAAAGACATTTATAATGCTACAAAAGATTTCTATTTCAAATAAATGCTGTTCTTTTGA